AGGGTTTAGGGTTTAGGGCAAGAATCCCCAACATGGGAAATGGCCCACCCGAAGAAGCCGAGGTGCGGGGTTCAAGGTGAAGACCACGTAGGTGAGTTGGTCAAAGCTCGTCAAGTATCGCGGTATCCTCACAGAGCGGCCATCCAGAAAAGAAAAGTAACCACAGCCAAGGCCCCGGGCCTTGATATGGGGGCCTGAATCAATGGGGTTTAGGGGTATAGGATGGTATTGGACAGTAAGCATAAATACAGTAAGGAACCCTAAGGAACGATGTTGGTATCCATTCAGGCTTCTACCTGTGACCAGGAACACGAAACTTCTAAGCTGGGACTGCCTTCCTCGGGGCCAAATCTCAGAACGGAGCGATGTCCCACGCAAAGATCAAAACCTTCACATCCCGAAGCCAAAGCCCTCAACACCCTAAAACCTCAAACATCCCTACTAGTAGACCGTGAGAGAGCGTCGTTGTGATGTTCCCTCCGATCCACATGATCTTCTCCAGGTTGCTGGCAGTTGCCACGGGAAGGCGGACCACCTCGCGTCGGAGATCGAATCAGGCGGCTTCGACTCTCAGTGACTCGCAGCAGGCAAGACTCAGGCTGTTTCGAGTTTCAGCGCTCACACTGAATTATCCAGGCGAGGCATGTGGTCTTGAGTCGGCTGGTTTAGGGTTTTAGGGTTTCCGCGCTCAAGCCAGGCGAGCGTTGCGGTTGTTTTCAGGGCTCAGGGTTTCCACTCGCCCACTCAGGGCAGGGATCTACAGCAACTCCACTCAACTCGCTACTGTTACATGAAGGAGCAGTGTGGCAAACAAAACCAAGAGAGATAGACCAAGTAAAGCATGCAAGAACCAGGGTTTAGGGTTGAGGGCTTGGCATTTAGGGCCGAAGGGTTACGGGTTTCAGCACTCACGACTCGGCATCGGCATGGGCTTGCAGCTTAGGGTTTAAGGTTGAAGCGGCGTAGGACGTGCCGTTCATCGAGGGGCACTCGACTGAGTGGCTGTGCTGGAATGACCCTGATCTTCATTCTCAGCGGGACTCGGACGTGTCGGAGCCATTGAAACCGCCAGCACGGCAGGTTTCACTACGATTTTGTGTTGCTGGTTTAATGGTGTTCAGCAGTCGAGCCTCACTTGAAGGCTTGCCGTATTGCTGTTCGACAGCGTCTGCGACTGGCGGCTGAAGGCACAGGAGACAACAACAAGTCGTGCAACCGGCCACCTCTTCGGCAAACATGACCATCACCTGGATGGTATACTGAAAGAATGCCGGGTTGATGCGACGGAGCCTCCGTGGTACTCCGATCACGCCAGCCATCAAAGCTGGGTCTTGCAAGTATAAGGATAGCTCTGCACGTGTCCGTAGGCTGTTCAAGCGCAGTCAAGCAACAAGCGGTCGTCCAGGTTGCCTGCAGCTCCAAGTACGCCAAAGTATTGCCTCACTGCGCTCAAACTGAACATGACGCAGTCCATAAATTCCTGCCTACGGTTTACTAAAAACTAAAAGCCTGGGTTTTCTGCCAGACTGGCAAGGGTGCACGGTGGTGGCATGCTGGCTAATCTCTACCAGGGATTCGATGTCGCAAGGCGCCCCCGGGTCGGTGAGGAAGTACATTGCACGACAATTGCAACTTGGGCTCTCGAACCTCGGTAGTCCAACAGCCAGCAGATTCCTGGGCTTTCGGTTTTAAGCTGTAAGGCGATCAGGTCACCCTGCACGTAACTCTAAGCACCTGCCCGGTTTCAGCTCCAGGTCCTTGGATTCGTCCTGCCTTCCTCGTTTCGCTTCGCTACTTCACTGAAGTCAGCCCAGGGCGCAGTGGATGCGTAACATATGGGAGTTTCCGAAAATAGGGGGCCCCCTAAAATAAGGTACCCCTAATTTTCTGAAACTCCCATATGGACACACCCAGCCGGCCTCCGTCTTCCACAGCATGCTGCCTTGCTTCTCCGATAACCCAGGAACGAACAGATTAAACTTTCATGATGGCAAAACCACAGCTCTCTGCCGAAACCCTAAAAACCTTATAAAACCTAAAAAACTAATAACTTAGTAACCTTGATGCCTTGCAAAAAATATCAAAAAACTCCTAGTAATTCAGTAAAGGTTAAGCGGTGTTGGACCCGAGCTGCAATCCGCGGTTGCAGCTGCTGTGGCCCAGGCCACGACTGCTACACCGAGGAAGGGCCGTAGGACCACCTCCGAGTGGCGGCGGCTTGGGGCTTGAGTTATATCAATATAGTAGTAGTTTTAGATTATATATTGTTAATATATAACACAATTTAATATAAGGGGTTAAGGGTTGAGGTCTGTAGGGCCTTTAGGGCTCTTCGCCAAGTCGGGGTTCTGGACTTTGGGGCTGGCAGTCAGGCAAAGTCAAGCTTTAGGGTCTTTGTTCCTTCTTTAGGGTTGTTTTTGAGGGTTCAGTTGGTTGTTTTTGCCTTCAGGGTCTGGGGGCTCTAGGGCACTCCATGGCTTCAAACAGTAAGGTCGGGGGCTTTCTAGATTTGCCTTGAAGGCTTCGCGGCAGGGCCCGCTGATCTTAAGCAAAACGTTGGAGACCTCGTAATTCAGCCAAAGCCCGTCAACAAACCAAACACACGGGTGCCAAAAGGCATCCAAGCTACTTGAGTCACTTGGCCGCAACATGCCCACGAAGGTTTGAACGTCCGTCTGCCCAGACCCCTCTGACGCGGCGGTGGTCTTGGAGCAAGCAGCTGCAAGCTGTGCAAGTCCAGGGCTTCCAGAGCTTGTCTGGCCCCGAGGAATGCGTAAGCTGTTGTAAAGAAGGTTTGCCAGAAGGCCTCTGGATTCACAACCGCGGTCCATGAGGGACGATGCACCAAACCTCCCAGAGCAAGGATCGTGCAGGAGGAATATGCAGATTGAACCATCACCTCCGAGACAACTTGGCAACGAAGCAGGCCGAAGAAGGTGTTGATCGAGATGAGCCACAAGTCACTACAAACGAGGCACGCCTGGAACAGCACAATGCGATCATCCATGGCCGGGATGTCCTTCAGGTTGTAGACATCGAAGCCACCATATGTGCATAGCTGCAGAAACTGGAGTGTCACTTCAAAGGCATGGAGGACATTTACCTGAAGCCAATAGAGCTCGGTTCCTGGCCTCGTAAGATAAGCCTTGTATTTCAGCCAATCCTCCACATAGAACTTCAAAGCTTCCAGGCTCCATTTCGTCGGCCATCGCGGTCTCAGCGCC